GAAGTGTTGACCTTACGTTTTCTATGATTCCTTATTTATTTTAATAGCAGCAGAGTGCTCTACCTCCCCTGTCATTTTCAGTACTTTCAAAGAAATAAACATCTTCCACACCTAGTAAATCTCTAAGCCTTTATCAACATGTGGGAAATAAGTGTTGCCTCAGACATACTTACTCTAGGATGAGATTATTGCTTAAAGGTGATAATATTGTGGAATAATCCTTTTATGAGTATTCTTTTATAAAAAGACATTTTCAGAAAAGAAAAAAAAGACAACCTTATGAAAGCTGCAGGTATAAACCTCTATTTCTGCTTTTGGAACTGCTACTTTAGGCTTTAACATCTGTATTTCCATGTAATATCAAAACTGATTCGTGCCTGTGGTTTGAAATAATTTTTAATACAAAGAAATTAATTTAAATCTTTTCTTATTATTTAGAAGTAAAGAATGCAGCTAGACCAAGTTACCCAAAATGCTCATATCAATTCAAGAATGCAACTACTAATGCATTGGTTGATGCCAAGTCCACTGAAGGAATCCTGGAACCTGTTCCACTTGTTAATAACCGTAAAGGGAGCCTCTTCCTACCCAACCCCTCGCTGCTGCACCTTAACTTACTGAGTTCTGTCGAACAAGGAAAATCTACGTACTGTAGATTGCAAAGGGCACTCAGCTTACCTGTAAAACACCACTGCCACTCCCAAAAGCCTGGGTTGAACCAAGATCTCCGTAGGTAGCCCAGTAGTTGGATGCATAAGGCAACACAGATCGGTTTGTGCATGGTTTTGCAGTCTGTTTTCCATGTGCCTATGACATTACTAATGCTCTCTTAAGTGCTTACAGATGTGGGTTTCTCCAGATGTGGTGATTAATAAGTTAATTGAGATAGCTAGTCAACTAATGTTTCTGGGTGGTTTGTGCTTTACCTTTCAAAGGATTTATTTGCTCTGAAGCATTTACATGCTAGGCAGAATGAATTTACTGGGTATTCCAGTTGATGCGATGTTCAATAACATAGATGTTATTTCAAATTTCAGTATTTTGGGGGCTTTAAAAAGGTGTCTGTAAACTGTTCTGCTAGTGACCCGGGAGAGGCAGTGAAGGGGACAGTTTTATTTTAAAAATAGTAAGAAAATAACAACGAAAAAAAGTTATGAACTTGTCCACTGTTTTGAAAGACATTCCCTTTATTTTACTTTAGAAATGAAATGAAAAAAGTCAAGTAATATGTTGTTACAGATGTTCAACTCCACATTAAGGCTGTTAAAATTACCAGCACATCTTAAACCAATTCATGGTATATTGTCTGGAGGTTATGTCATTGAAGTAATGAACACTCTTTACTCAAGAGTAAGCAAACATGTTAAAACATCAGTGTAACTTTAAATTAAACTCCAGCACAAACTGGAGCATCTGAAGCCTCATTAGACTTGCCTGACATTTTTCTAGCACTGAGTCTTCCTGAACTGCAAAACTGTTATTAGAACAACTGAACTGAAGGTTGATACAACAGTACATTAAGTGTTATACTTAGGGATGTGCAAACAAGCTCTTGAATCTATGAAATTCTGTGTCCAATTCTTGAACATATTTGCAATTTTCATGAAAGCTGGTAAAGAAAGTCTGCATAATATAATATGGCTGTATTTAATACAAATCCTGTAGTATAAAGACATGAAAAATAGTAAAAAATGGGGACTCATTAACAAAAGCAAGCATACAATATCAGAGTTGAGTTGTCATATATCACAGCCAATTACTCAAATATGGTTGTCTTTCATAAGAACAAGCAAATTTAAGATTCCCTTTTAAATTAATGCAGACACAGGAACCATGAAACTATAATTATATTTAATTACATTACTAAAAATTCTGCTAGATCTATTTTTTTAAATATGCAGAAAATTGATAAGAGTATTTTGAAGAATAATAATTAAATATTTTTATATCCTACTTACTACTAAGAAACCACTTGTGAGTTATCATTTCAAAGTTTTGGGGAACCAAGCCATAGGTAATGGTGTCCATTATATACTATTCACATATTTCAACTTCACGGATTCCCTTTCCCCATTCTTATGGAGATGTGTTTCTAAAATACAGAAGCCCTGTAAACTCTGCACAGAGATTTCGACGAAAAGCAAAATCTTGTTTTTATGTGATATGATGAAGGTAGATCTCCTTTCATTGCTACAGTGAGAATATATGGCTTCCTTGCTTGAACAAGGCATTGTTTTAGCAACAAATTGAGATTCCTCAGAAGGCTTTGCTAACAGGTGTTAACTAGTGAACCACATTAACCTTGGGCTTTCCAGGCAATTGGTGACAGTGACACAGTTTGAATATGACAAGCACATATCCAAAAAAGGAGCTTACTTATTGCAGATGCAATACCAAAAATAAGTGCAGACTGCTAGAAATGTACTTCTAGAAATGGTTATCCTGAATGATTACAGTAAGATTTTGTTTTTAATTGAGTGGCAGGTTAGTATCACCTAGCAACACTGGAGAATGCAAATGTTGGACTATAAAGTGCAAAAGCCTCTTATTGTACTAACTTTCAGAATTTGAAGGGATCAGATAGGAGTCTTATTAGCTAGTTGAAAACTTGGAAAAGTACTCTTTTTTAATGCTGTTTTCTCTTGTTCATAGAAATATTTCTTGCAATAATATCTACAGTTGACTTATGTTAATGTAAGGTTTTGCACATGGTCTTGATGTATCTTCCTTAGACTGTTAAAATAGTGTGACAATACCCTTGTGGTGGTATATTGCATCTCTTGACAGACATCCTGTAACTCCATGGTAGCAGATTAAATTAAGTAAAATTTAGAATTTTTACTACCAGGAGAGCAAACCAGATAATTTGTTGGTTCCCGGCAGGAACATTTTCCATGATTCTCGTTCCTTTGATCTTCTAAGTGATGGATTCATCAGATTGGAACTGAATTTTTATGTCTGATACAGAAAAAGAAAGCACAGTGTATATCTTGAAACCTATTGTCTGTGTGGAATAGCATATGAATAACTTTTTTTAGAGAAGTTTAAAAAAGACTAGGCCATTTCCGAGAGTGTTTTGCAGAGCATGTTCTGAAACGCTCAAACACTTGCACTTTTTTTCAATCAGAAACACAAAGATATTACCAATAAAGTAATTCTGTGCATATTCACTTCATGGTACACATAGCTAAATACTAGAGCTAAATGCTCTAGTTTAATATGAACAAACTGCCACAGAATAAAAATTTCAATTTGTGTATTTTTGAGAATTTTCTATGGGCTTAGTTATCTCTCAGCCAAACAAAGAATGGCACTTGACTGATCATCAACAAGCATTTACACTGCAGGACTCTGATCTGGAAAAAAAGAAAAGTCAAAGGAGAAGAAAATGACTTTGTCTTTGGGGATACTGCCCTAGAAGAGGAGAAAGTTAAGTTAGCCAATAAATCATTATTAGACAGTCCTTGTTCTAATCTAAATATTATTTTTGTACCACTCTTTGGGACATTTATTTTGGGATTAGCTTTGTTTGGTTGGTTTTTTTTTTGTTTTCCCTTTGCAATGCTTTCTTTTGTTGTGAATCCCTTGTGCTTGGTGATGCCCGGTCATATAAAAAGAGAGCACGTCTGTCTTTTCAGGGTCCAATTTTTTGGTCTTGACCAAGGCAAAATGAAGTTCCATAGCAGGCTTGGGCAAACAGACAGACATGGCAGGCTAGAATGCAGTCTGTAATAAAATTGTGTCAGAAAAGGGTTATAGCAGAAGGCTGTTGCTTTATTTTCTCCAAGATAAGTCTAAGGCAGGTGGTAGATAACCAGGTTTTGTTTTTCCTATGTAGCTTGTTGCAAATAGTATTTTTTTTCTCAGCCTCTGCTTGTGCACTGCTAATGTGTACTAAGCTCTTTTAATATAGACACTGCTGCTACTACTACTAATGTCTTTTCTTTTAGCTTTAAACAGCTTCCTAGGCATCAGTTACATTGTCTTCTAGTATATTTTTGGTTAATACTAGAATGAAAAAAATTTATTTTTCCTTCTCTATATTAGAATAGATCAACAGTAGTGTGAATTTGAGAAAGCAAGCATGAGATTATTCCCTTTTTAATAGCACATGTAAAGTTTACATGCAGATTATCAAGTGCAGTTATATAATCTTGAAGTAAGAAAGATGTTGGTTAATTCTTATAGATGAGTTCTTAGGAAACTGCACTTGTGTAAGCAATACATATTGTGACATAAGTTATCCAAGAGTAGTTTATGACTGGCAAACTGTACATGATTTTAATTCTAGAAATTGATCTGTCATTGAAAATGCCCGTCATCCTCATTAAAAGATTGCATAACACATGCATCCTCTGTTATACAGGTATTGTCTTCCCACTTCCATTCAACCTCATTCTGTTCACTCCTGTTAAAACTCCCTTTTGTGAGAAGGGTAGAGCGATGAGGTCTGACTTGTGCTGGAGATCTGTGCACAATGGCAGGCTGCATTCACATTCCCGACGAACTGAATCATTGAACATCAAGGCATTGAATATTTTACATCTCTTCATGAAGACTCTGTTGTTTGGCATGTGAGGAGCAAGAACCAACTGGTGTCTAGTTCATTAGCAAAAGCAGGCTGGCAGCTGTTACGTTGATATTTCAAATAGTACTTTATCTGTCTGGAAATATAGCAGAGCACTAATTCTATTTTTCTATAGCGCAGATTAACTGATAATAACTCCAAGAATAACCCGAATGTGGTTCCCCCCCTTTGTTTTTGAAGTATGAAACCAATTTGAACGCCTATGTTCAAAACCCTGATATTCTTCCCTGCTTCTCTTTCAAACCAATCTCTTCGACTAACATGTATTTGATTTTTATTACTGTTGGGCCTATGTTAGCAATGAAGTATCAGTGAGTGAATGGACATAGAGTGTGTGTTCTTTGCTACTTCAGTTGTATTTCACACTGCACTTAGAGCAGTACTTAATCTCATAAGTTCCTTATATTTCCAGTTGAAGATGAGCAGCCGTCGACACTATCACCCAAAAAAAAGCAGCGAAACGGAGGCATGAGAAATTCACCCAACTCCTCACCCAAGCTGATGAGGTAAGACTGTAAGAAACCCATATCTTCATCTGCTTTCTTCCTTCCTTCCACTTCTCCTCCCCCCACATCAAAAATAAGCGGAGGGGGGTGAAAAAAAAGATTGTTAGATGGTTTCTGAAAGGCTGAAGTATTTATTCTGTCAGCTTGTCAGCAGTTAATGATAGAGCTGAAAAAAAATTCTGTCATGAAAAACAGTTTGAAAAGCTGTTTGAAAAATACATAGGCTTTAAAGTCTTAGCTGTCACCCTGTCCTGTCCATGTGTAGTTCTTAAACAGCAGTGGCACTAATGATAGCACTAACCAATCAGGGGAACTCATGTGGTTAGTTTGCCTCAGGCAATTCTCTTTTTGTTGGATTCCCTCTGAGTACTGTTTTCTGTACTTAAGGCCATATGTGAGATGTATCATCACAATCAAAAATGAACCTGAATATTACCTTCCTTTTATCCTGTCGATTGAAATCAAATTTCGGTTAATTGATTTAGACTGATAAAAAAGTCTAATAATATATGTACTTGCCAAAGCAAAGTTCAAAACTAACGCAGTTTTAGTCAAGCTAAAAGCACATTAATTATGAAATACAGGGATTTTTAAGAGGGTAGTATATACTCTAAAAGTGGGTGATGAAAACATCATCTTGTTAGTGATATTTTTCCCCTGTTGCTATGTGTACATTATTTTACAACAGTACTCCTTTGCATAACTATGTAGTTTCCTTCCACAGGACAAATTACCTCTAAGAGATTTGTTAAAATGAGAACTGCAAAAAGAAATTGGAATCTATTAAAATAATATGGCATTTTCATTCTATCTCACTGTGCTTCGCCTTTTACCTGCTCAAGTCAGTCAGAATAGGATCACATTGTAGACATAGAGTTTTCTGCAAGGAGGCTGTTCCTGCTCTGATTTTGCATATCTTAGGCAGGCAGGCTAGAACCTCAGTCCATAATTGTATCCATAAATACTATAGCAGAGATTTTCCACTGTGTGTGTATATATATATATATATACACAGAAAAATGTAAACATATTGATACATGTAAACAGACACATTTATGCGATTTGAAATTTATGTGTGTGTATAACTGTGACTGCTCAAGTGAAAAAAAATGGATACAAATATATAATTCTTTCCATATATAAAATCCTTCAATATTTTTATTATTGACAATTATTTTGTTCCTTTAATGATTCTGGATATAGCTAGGTGATATTTCTCTTTGTATTTCAGTCACTAGACTGGAATTTTCTCTGGCCAGTTACAGAAACATCCATGTTTGTTTATTGTTTATGCAATGTAGGGCATATTCAAGGACGTAACTTCTACAAGTCGTCCTCATCTCTGTTTAGACTACAGAACCAAAAGTGAGATTGATTCACAGAAGAAAATGCACCCAGCTGTGGCTTTTTTTTTCCTATTTACCATCTATTTCTGTTAAATGTATCATTAAAAGCTCTCTGACTTCCTGTTAGTTCAGCCTTGCCCATATGACACTGATTTACATGCTTGTTTACAGTTTATGAGGAAGAATAAAATGAGCATACTGGCAAACTTCTCATTTTTATGGTGCCAGTTGTCATGCTAGCATCGTTTTCGACTTACTTACCTTTGGACAGTCCTCTTATCTGGTGTTAATAGTTTTAACTGCTTAAAATTTAATCGTGTGGGAGATTTCCCCCCTCACCTTCTCCCAAATCCTAATTTTGGGGAAGAAGAAGTCAAAAGAGAGGGGGAGAGAGAGAGAAAGAGCTGAAACATTTGGAGCTGAACACACTGTCCCTGTTTGCTATGTAAAGTATGCCTCATTTCTTTGATCTTGAGTAATAATAATTCTGGGGAGTTATACTGTTTTCATATGCTTCAAAGCTGTGTCAAAGTTTTGCTGCTTAAGGGTACTTCTTTATTCTATTGGCTCTTGGGTACTGAGATGACAGGTCCTCTGTACTAGGTGCAGGCTTTTTCAAGTCATAGCCTTCAGCAAAACATCAAATTACCAAATACAGGGTAACATACTTCTACACAAATGCCTTTCCTGTAGATATATTATACCATATATATTAAATACTTTAGTGTTACACGGTACATTTTATGTGCAATAGAAAGTGATGGTTTGAGGTAGCCTTAGGGGTACTTTTTTCCACAAGCAGAAAAAGCTAGTGTATACCGTATCAAGTATGGTTTTTACAGGACTTTCTGCCCGAAGGCCTTTGTAAATAAGTAATGATCAACAGATTGGCTGTGGGTTTTTGAAAAGCATGCCTGTGTCAGTTTGCATGATGGGGGAAGATTTTCAAAGTAGAGCCTGCTTTCATTGCCTGCTGAAGAGGGACTGAGGGAGAGTAGTCGTCCTGAGCCTGAGCTGTCTGCTCAGTAGCACATCAGAATTGCTAAACACAGGTTGAGCAGTGAGTGGAGAACTTGCCAGGCTTCCAAATCCAGACATTGTTTTCTTCCTCTTCTTCGCTGCTGCTAAATTTATTCTCCAGCCCTGTGTTCGCACCCTCAGCCGCTCCCCAGACCCAACCGTCTCTTCATTTTACTTTTTATCTATACTGACTTAACTTTGGTTCAAGGTGCTAAATAAGACAACATGGATTGAATCAGAAGAGAGCTCCGTTAAGCTTTGTTTGTAATGGTCAAACTGTTTTCTTCTTTCCGATAAACAAAGGTGGATTGTATTATCTGCTATTTTGTATCCTCGTAGATTACTTAAAGTGACAGGTACTTGCTTTTCCTGCCCAGAAATCTTTAGTGTATAGCAGCTAGAAGTACCCAAGAGGTAAATCTGTCATGTCTGTAGCTGATATTTATCTTTGCAAGTTTTTTCCTAAATTTACTTTAAAAGCTACTTTTCAAAGTCAGTTTTGACCCTGTCCCACGTGCCTTGAAACAGATGGCTACTTTGCAAATTTTTCCTCAGCTATGGTCCTGGATCTAGAGGGGTGCTGGAGTACAAGGAGTCTGGAGCATGAAAAGGACAAATATGTGAGAAGTTCATTTAAAAAATTTTAATCTGAATTTTGACTCTTGAATCACATTCTGAGCATCCGTACAGTTAAGATAATGTTGAAAATGCCACATAGATTTTAGATTCCCACAGTGACTAGGTCAAATCAGGGAAGAAGGTATTGTGCTATGGGATAAAACTTTATGACTTCTGCTATAACTGAAATAGAACAGAGAACAGAAACTGTATCATAGGAATTCTCTGGGACATCATGACAAGTGATGTGACCTGGTCAGAAAATGGGAGTTTTTGAGATTTAGTCACACATAAGTAGAAAGCTGTATTACCAAATGTAAACCAGATAAATAGATTGGAGGCATCTTTTTAATGACCCTAAAATTACAATAAATTACTGATATAAATAGGTGATTGACATAAAAATGCTCTTTGTGTACATCACAGATGGTCTAGATTCACATTTAGAAAGTCACTGTTCTAACTGAATCCTGCATCACATCAAATGACATGAGCAGAATCACACTGATGCAATACTATAAGAGTCTAATAAATAAGAAACAAATATTTCAAATTCCAACAGTAGCTACAAATGCAGATTAACCAGAAAAATACTCTGCATCGTCATGGTTATTTTTACCTGTCTTACATCAGCAAAAGTCTGTCCCATTAAACCCATAAGAACACGGATACTTCTTAAAAATAACTTAAACTCCAACAGGAAAAAATGGCTACTTCTCCTGTTGAGATGTGAACACAAGGACATCCTATTACAATAAAAATTTAAATGGAAGCAAAAGGAAGAAAAGCTGTGAGTGACAGAATAATCACATATCAGGTCTCCTTCATGAGACGGAGAAGAAAAGTAGAACCAATTGATGCCTCTGGTGTCATGCTGCAATATCAGTCACCTGTTCATCTCAGTTGCAGGTTTCGATGCATATTATTGATGAGCAGCCACGTTAACTATGAAGAGATGAAGAGGCTATGTTGCCTGAATATCAAGTAGCAAAGCTAGTTTTTAAAAAAAATATGTCATTTTAGATTCAGAATGACCAGTAAAAATGTGAAAGGCCTGGATATGAATCAAAAAAGCCACTTAAAAGGATTGTTGCTGAGGCTCAAGTCCATACTTAATGCTTTTCTAGCTGCTACTGCCTGAGTGGAATACACTGACTTGAAGGAAATGTCAGCCCAGCTGAGTCAAACTACCTCTTAATGCAAGAACAAATAGCATATGACAGGGCCCAAGGGGCCTGAAGAGCAAACAAATAGTTTGTCCCTGTCCACTCTGTATGTAGTGGTGTAGTTGACATAGGCCTCTAGACAAGTAGCATACTCAGCAAAGGGTCATTATCATTAGTGTCCCTGATCACATAAGAATCAGAGGCATCAGAGGACACTGGGTTTTCAGTGTGTTGCCAAGGAGAATTTCGTAAGCCTGAGGATTTTTTTTGATCGAGGATCTTAAATAATTCCCAACCAAACCATAAAACTTGCTCAGAGACTGTCAAAACCCAGCTAAGTGACACAGAAAAAAAGTGAGCTCTTTGGCATACTTTTCCAGAAGCCTAATGAGATTATTTATCTGAAGTTGAGGAGGAAACCTCCTGTCTTTTTTCCTGAAGTTGGATATAATATTCTAAATATATGAACAATGGCTGTGCACATTTATCTCCTCATCCACCCACTAAGCCACATCCACTTAAATGTGCATACACATTTTTGCTAGTGTGCCACTCAGGATGAATTTGTATTGCCTCTGCCATTGTAGTGCTGCCCTTTCATGAGCTGAAACTGTGAACTTTCTCACAGAAACCAAAAGAAAAGTGATGACAGATCTAGAAGGGAACATTTCTCAAGCCAAAACTGGTAAAATAATTTCAGTCTGATCATTTCCCATGACTCCCTTAAACTAGGCATGAAGGTAAGGTTTGAAAAGGTGAAAGCTCACTGATAACCATAATAATGGTATATATTTACATCTCTCAGCCTTGGAAATTTCCATCATGTAATGTCAGATTTATATCCTGCCTT